GGTACCTGTGGCTCAGGCTGACTTCTTCCCGCTTTTTTGGGCAGCGTGGAAGAAGACCTTCACTAAAGACCTTGTTGTACAGGCCTTTAAGTGCACTAGGATTCACCTACTAGATGCTAACGTTGTGCTTAAGAAGTTTAGAAACCTAACACTAAAGTCGCCCAGCACAACCCTAGAGCCTACTCAGCTTCAGCCTGCACCAGAATCACCTAGTTAGCGCAAGACATTGCGGCTTCTTAAGCGTGCAAGAGAAGATAATGTACCTAGTGCTGCTAAGGTAGTTAATTAAGCCCTTTACTAACTCTACATGTAATTAGAGATCTTAGAGGCTAGGGTTAACAGCCTAGAAGAGGCTCTAAAGGCTAATAAGAATAAGAAGAGGAAACAGAAGGTACTACCTTTGCAACCTATTAATAGTAATAAGGGTAGTAGTGTAGTTCTCTAGAGTCCTTTACACATTAAGCGCGTAAAGCAAGAACTCTAGGTAAAAGAGGACCTTAAGCGCACTGCAGAGGCAGCAAAAGCTACTAAGAAGGAGCTTTAATACTAGAAGAAGATTATTTAAGCAAAGGAGAAGGAGGATAAGCGTGTAGAGTAAGAGAAGAAGAAGGTATTAACTACTAAGGCATAGGCTATAAAGCGCGCTTAAACTAAGGCTTGTAAAGAGGAGGTAAAGTATAAGAGTAATATAAAAAAAAGTACTTAATTACCTAAATAGGCTAAGAGTAAGGCCTTATAGAAATCTTAGTTAAAAGTAATAAAGAATTATAGTAGTAGTGCTGTGCGTAGTTAGTAGGTGCCTTATAGGTTGCCCTTACTACTACTACCTACCACAGCATCTACTGGCCGCACTACGCGTCCCCCTAGAAAACTATAGTAGTTAAAAGTTTTGCAATAACGTAATCGGCCATTGAGTCGGCCAGGCAATTGAGCCGGCCACCTTTGCCAAGATCACACCTCATTCCACCTCTCATCTAATGTCTCAACAACCTGATCTTAGATTACTTCCTTGTGAGGGTAGGATAATCCTTGCTATCCAAGCTATGAAATCTAACGCGTTAATAAGCCAACAGCGCGCTGCTGCTATCTATGACGTTCCTCGATCAACCCTCCAAGACTAACGCGCCAAAACCACCTCACAACGCGATTCCCACCACGGCAGATTAAGGCTTACTAAGCCTAAAGAGGAGGTGGTTATACAATACATAAGGAAGCTTGACGCGTGAGGCTTTGCCCCTACGCTAAGCTACGTACGTGAAATGGCCAATCAACTGCTAGCTGCCCATGGTGGTAGTAAGGTTAGAGAAAAATGGGCCAGGCACCTTGTAAACCGGAAGCCTGAGATCAAGTCTCAGGTAACCAGACAGCGCGATCACTAGAGAGTCTTGTGCAGTGATCCAGCTATCATCAGCCCCTGGTTCAACCTTGTGCGCAACGTCAAAGCTAAATATGGCATCTAGGACCAAGATACCTACAACTTTGACGAGACTGGCTTCTAGATAGGTGTTGGAGGGTCTGTCAAGGTGGTGACAGCGTCTGAGAGGCGTCTTAAGCCACTTGGAGTCTAGCCTAGCGACCATGAATGGGCAACGTTGATTGCCGCAATTAATGCCATAGGGTGGGTTATCCTGCCCTTTATCATCTTCAAAGCAAAGAACCACGACTAAGCCTGGTATCACAACCTAAAGGATTGGCGTATTGGTGTCAGCAAGAATGGCTGGACAACAAATGAACTGGGCCTAGAGTGGCTGAAGCACTTCATCCAGCATACAACAGCCTGGACAGTGGGTAGCCACCGGCTGCTGATTATTGATGGCCATGAGAGCCACAAGTCGCTTGCCTTCCAGGATCTGTGTGAGGAGAACAAAATTATTACTCTCTGTATGCCTCCTCACACCTCCTATATCCTACAGCCACTTAATGTGGGCTGTTTTGCCCCATTAAAACGAGCATATAAGACAGAAATCAATGTCTTAGCAAACAGCCACGTTACTTACATTAATAAGAAAGCATTCTTGGCTGCCTTTAATTAGGTGTTTAATAAGGCGTTTTCATCTAATAATATCTAATTAAGCTTCTGAGCAACAGGCTTGGTTCTAGACAACCTAGAGGTGGTGCTATTAAAGCTTGAAGTGAAGCCTTGTACGCCAACACTACCTTTACTAGGGCCTACTACCTGGCAACCTAGAACACTAAGCAACGCTGCTGAAATATTAGCTCAATCAACGCTGATATCTGACCAGATTAGGCGGCACCACAGTTCATCTCTAGCTTTAATTATTAAGATGGTGCAGCAGTTTAAAAAGGGAGCTGATATGATGGTGCATTCCCAGGTGCTTATGGCGGCTGAGATGGTTAAGCTTCAAGCAGCAAATAAAGCTGCTTCTGAGCGTAAAGCACGTAAAAGGAAGCAGATCTAGTATGGATGAACCCTATCACAGCAAGAGGCAGAGGAAATAATAGCTGCACGAGAGGTGGTGGTGCAGGCAGAGGCAGAGAGGCGTGAGGAGAGGGTGCGAACAGGTGGTAGTAGAGAGGGTTCTCAACGCTGTGGGAGGTGTGGTTAGGCTGGGCACAATAAGCGCACATGTAAGCAAGATACTGTAGACAGAGTGGATTAATTTGACGTACTGTGAGCCACAGCACGACGTTGTGGTGTTGAGTTATCTGCGTGTCAAGGTGGGTGGCTGCATAAGGTGGCCGGCTCAATTGCCTGGCCGACTCAATGGCCGATTACGTTAGTCTATTTAGTAATCTACTAAATTATCTTGTAATAGCAGCGTTGTGGTGTTGCTTAATAATCTCACTTGTTTTAGGGTACAAAAAGTGATGTTGGTGCATCACGCGCCGCGGTGCACAACGAGGCCGTGCACGTTACCTCTCTACCTAGTATAAGGAGCTGTCTTTACCTTACAACTAGGTTATTACTGTCTCTAAGAACAGCTAGACTAATAATAAGCTTAGTATTAAGTAGCTAAAGCACTTTAATAAGCGCACAAAGGAGCGCACTGTTAGCAGCTATTAACTACTTATTCTAGACATCAAGCTTTAATAGCACCTGCTCTGGGTTGTGAGGAACCAAGCCAGCGCCTTTAAAGCTTGCTAAGATGTTCTTCTTTGTAATTGCCTTGTCAAAGGCAATATAGAAGGCTGGTAAGAAGGTCTCTTTCTTGACTTGTGTGATAGAGTACCTTGCCCAGCTGTTAATCTTAGCAGAGTACGCGCGCTTCAAAGGGGCAAAACAGCCCACGTCAAGCGGCTGCAACAGGTGCGACGAGTGAGGAGGCATACAGAGAGTAACAATCTTCTGTTCCTCACAGTACTTAAGGAATTAGTAACTGTTGTGGCTCTTATGGCCGTCTACAATTAGCAGACAGTACACGCCAACAGTACGCTCCTTTGTATGCGCGTTAAAGTGCTTTAACCACTTCAGGCCAAGCTCATTTGTTGTCTAGCTGTTAGCGCTGGTCTTAATTACCCAGTTGTGAGGTAGTCCTGGATACCAGCTTAATATAAGGACCTTGCCGCTAAAGATAATAAAGGGTGGGATGGCCTATCCGCCAGCGCAGATGCCCTAAATGATTGTGACCCAGTCACAGTTGCCTGGCTGTATCTTCTTAGGATTGCTTCGCTTCTTAGAGCCTGTAAAGACTATTTAAGCAGCAATCATGCCTATTATAAAGCTAGACTTATTAAAGTTATGTGTGTCTTTATCTAGGATCCTGTACTTCTTCTTTGTCCTTCTTACTAGCTCAAACTAGGGCTCTATAACGCGTGCGTCTTTGTTTAGGGCTTGTTGACAATTGTATAGACAGCTGCGTCGAAGCTTGACTTCCTTAGTACGCGTTCTGAACCTGTCTACCCAGTTCTTGCCAACAGGTCCTTCACCGCGCGCAGCGAGCAGATTGTTGGCCATTTCTTCTACCATAGTCCTTGTAGGGCCTATCCCTCGCTCATCTAGCTCTAGTATACGTGTAACTATTGCGTCCTCTTCTGTCTTCTTAAGCTTCTTTAAGTTGGCTTTGCAGTTGCGTTGTGCGCGTTTTCCAGCGTGTTAGTCTCTTAGGGTTAATTCAGGAATGTTGAACGCTCTAGACGTGTGTTTTGTACTGTTAGACACAGTAGCATTTATAGCCTGGATTGCAAGGTATAGTGCGCCTTTATTGTAGATTAATTGCGCGTTGTGTTGTGGTGGCATCTTTGTAATAGATGTAATAGTCGCAAAGTTCGTAGGGCCGCGCGACTCGGTGGTGGTGCGCGACTCGGTGGTGAAACACGTTACCTCTATTTTGCCCTCCACCATCCTGCTTAGCGACTTTAATATCAACCACCCATAGTAGGACCCTATAGTAGCTACTATAACACTAAGAGCAGCTAGTTTTGTTACTTAGCTAGAAGAACAAGACCTAGAGCTACTAAACAGCCCTAGTACAGGCACTTTCTTTAGGCCTAACATGAATAGAGAGAGTGTTCTAGACCTAATTTTTGCTACAACACAGCTAGCAAACCTTATAGAAGACTAGCAAACGCTAGGTAGACTTAGTTCTAACTACGTAGGCATCTTATTTATAATAAGGACGCCTAGAACACAGCACTAAACAGACCTGCTCCTAGGTTTAACACAAAGAAAGCAAACTAGAACCTATTTAGCAAAGTCCTAGCAAAGGAGATAGCAAACACCTCTGCTCTTAGCAACGTAAGCACTCTAAACTACTCTACAAGCAGATCTCTAGCACTTATCTAAGGAGAAGACTAGGACCTAGAAGAGCAGCTAGAAACACTAGCCAAAGAGCTTAGTAAGCTACAGCTATAACTAAAGCAGCTAAGACAGCAATTCCGCAATGCTCTACCACTGCAAAAAGCAAGCCCTAGTAGAATCAAGACCTAAAAGCACTTAGGACAAGCATGCTCAGCAAACAACGCAAACTGCAGAGAGAACTTGCTATTAGCCCAACAAGTGCCTACACCTAGAAAAGAGAGTATCTAATAGCTAGAAACAGCTATCTACAGGCTGTAAAAATAGCAAAACGCAACTATTAGAACCAATTCCTAGAGAGAGAGGACCCTAAATCAATCTTCAAAGTAATAGCTGTTGCAGCCAAAATAGAGGCAAAATGTACATACGTTTGCACTCCTGAATTGGCTGGTAAATAGGCATTAGGCTGGCGGAATGGGTATACTCCAACGTCCTTTGTGGGTACCCCCCAAAACTTTGTCAATAATACATGGATTCTAGCGAAATAGGGCTTAAAAGAAAGAGA